GCAATGGCTATAACTCTCTGGGTGAGGCTGAGGGAGGCGTAGTTGTCCCTTTGTCTCTGGCTGCTGGCTAAGCTCACCTGTTTCCCTGGGTTGGCGCGAGGTGGAGGGTTCCCATTGCTGGGACAGGCAGTCCTGCAGAATTGGCCAGAATTTGCATCCTGGAGATGAAAGAAAATGTCCTACCACAAGAGAGCTAGTTAGCACCATAGCAGAGGGGAGACTAGCTCTGTATGCTGTTCCAACAAGCTAGGACCCTCCCCAGCCTTCTGAGCAGTGCCAGGGGCCTCATCAGTCTGTCTGAGTTCTGCGTTAAGCACAGCAGTGTAAGGGACATTCTGGTTGGGCAGAGGATAGCAGCAGTGAATGAGTTATCACGGTAAGAGCAGTCACCATTTAACAAGTTCTTCCTCTATGCCAGGAACTGGGCTAATCTCTATCTCAATTAGTCCTCACAAAACCCTCTGCGGTAGGCTGTGAATTGGCTGTGTTGCAGAGGAGGAAACCAAGGCACAGGGAGGGGCTAAGAGCCTTGCCCAAGTCACAAAACTATCCAATTGCAGCACCAGGCCTGTCACCCAGGATCTCCAGACGGGTCCTGTGTCCCCTACACTTGTCATGGCTGCCAGAAATGATTTAAAGAAGAGGTAACTTTAAAAATACATATTAAGGTGGCATTTAAATTCAGCACATCTTAAAACAGAAGGATTCAGCATTCAAAAGTTATTTTTAGCACATAATTCATTTGCCATTGTCCCAGCTACCATCCTTTAGTAGGATTTAAAAAGCTGTTGGTTTGGGGTTTTGTTTTCGTTTTTAATCCTTCCTTCAAAAGATAGAGTCCTTCTTTATTAACACCAGAAAAAAAAATTGCTCCTTCCTCCACCAGTGTCCCTCCTGGCAGACTTTTTATCAAGGCACCTCTAACGTATTCTTGAGTCATTGAAATGTAACAATACAGAATCATTTAAATGCTAATAAGATGAAACTGAAATGCATAAATCCAATATTGTCAGCATGTTCTCTTAGATTCTGAAGGTCCTGGCACATCAGAGCCTGAAGGAATCCCAGAGAGCACTAGTTCAACCCCTTCACTTTCCACGTGGGGAAACCGAGACCCAGGGGGGAAAGGGGCTTGGTCAAGGTCACATTTCAGGAGCTTGGAAAACAAGGAGGGCCTTTCCAATGGGCCCTGGCTTCGGTTGTGTGACCCCAGGATTGCTGTACGCCCTGCCCAGGCCTATGTCTCAGTCTGTTTGGCTGCTATAACAGAACACTGGGCGGCTTAAACAACAGAAATTAATTTCTCACTGTTCTGGAGGCTGTAAGTCCAAATAAAGGTGCCAATGGATTGGGTTCCTGGTGAGGGGCCCTCTTCCTGGCTTGCAGACAGCCATCATCTTGCTGTGTCCTCACATGGCCCGTCTCTTTTCATAAGAACACCAATCCCATTCATGAGGGCTCCACCTCATGACCTAAGGCCACACCTCCAAATACCATCACATTGGGCATTAGGGCTTCAGCATATTAATGGGGGTGGGGGGGGCACATGTTCAGTCCATAGCAGCCTGTGTGTCCATTTTTTAGGACAGGAGTCACAGCAGTGTTGATAGCTGGCTGCAAGTGAATATCATCACAACCATAATGGAGGTACACTTGCTAATAATGGGGTAGGAGGGGGACCTGAGAAGGCACAGAAGCCAGTGAGCTCCAGGCCAGGAGCTGCACTGAGGGGTTTCAATGGGCCCTCACAGCATTCTGTAAGACAGGTGGGTCAGCTCCACTTTGCAAATGAGGCCCACCCAGTGAGGTTCAATGACTTCTCCAAGGTCACACTGCTCATTAAATGCCTCAGCCATATAGTAGTAGGCAGCAAGGTGGTCATCCTTGGACGAGTCAGCAAGGATGGCAGAGTCTGATGGGCTGTGGCTGAGGGGACAGCTGCCTGCATCAGCCTCACACCCATGCCTCATTGTGATGAGGAGTAGTGGGCAGGGGATGCATCTCAAAGAAAAAAAGTATGACTACTGATTGTGATATCGTTCATGACCCCCAGCAAACCTGTAAGATAGGCAGGGTAGGAATCACTAGCCTATGTTGCAGACAAGGAAACTGAGGTCCAGGGACCTCCCATGGATGGATGGCCCAAAGGCTAATCCAGATATTCACTCATTCATCAAGTATTTATTGAGTGTCTTCTGGGTGCCAGGCTCCATACTAGGTATGAAAGTGACATGACTGTTGCCCACTGAGAGTTCTCAGGCTCCTGGGGAAAAGAGACAGCTAAGCAGCCCCAAGCAATGAAGTGTGAAGTACCTGGAATGGAGTAGATGCCCCAAACACAATTATTGAATGGATGGATGGATGGATGGATGGATGGATGGATGGATGGATGGATGGATGGATGGACGGACGGGTAGATGGTTGAAGATCATTGTTCATGTTAACACAGTAGTCATTAAAATCACCAGTAGACCATTAACTCATGCCTGCTGTTGTCATCACAAATATAATTACTGCTAACGATTCTCATAGCTGCTGTCAGAGATGTAATTATCAGTGACTGTAAGCCACGCCACAGGTAGCAGGTGGAGAGATAGAAAATAACGCCTCAGGTTTAGAAAGTCCCTTGTGGCTTGCAAAGCACTTTCGTTCACATACAGCATTTCATTTAAGCATCCCAAGAACCCCAGAAGGGAGACTCACCAGGGGAGGCAGCAAAGCATGCTGATTAAGAGAGTGTCTCTGGATCCAGAGTGCCTGGGTTCAAATCCCAGCTCCACCGCTTGCTAGCTGTGTGACACTGGGCAGGTTACAGCACCTCTCTGGGTCTCAGTTTCCTCATATGATTTGCGGGGATAATAAGACTATCTCAGAAAGCAGTTGTATGAATTGGTAATAATCACAATCACTACTGAGTGTTTACTCAGTAATTACTGGGCTCAGTTCTAAGTATTTTGCATGAAATAACTACTTTAAGCCTCATAGCACCTATGCAATAGATACTATTATCCTCCCTCCCTTTTCTCAGATAGTAAAACTAAAGTGAATTTGCTCCCCCATTCTGCTGAGAGGTGAAGGAGCCAGAATTTGACCAGAAACTGTGGCTTTTAGAGCCCCTGTTAACCTCCACAGTATCTCTACATGCAGGCGTCCTTGGTCCCTGCCTCACCTGTTGGTCCCAGTGTAAAACTAAGACTTTCTGCTGCAGCCTTGGGTAAAAGCGCCCTCCTGGGAGGCATGACAGGTCCCTCCTGCAGCTCCAGCACCCCCCTGACCCATGGCTGGGAAGCGCCATGTCCCAGGTGTAAACACACCAGATTTGAACATGGTTTATAATTAGCTCGCAGCAAATTAAGGGGTAGCAAGGGGACAGCGGAGACTGACTATTGTCTTACAGATGAGGAAGCTGTGCCTTGGTACAGTAAAGGGACTTGCCCAGGGTTCCACAGCCAGGATTTGGGAGAGCTCAGATTGGAACCCAGATTACTGGTTCCAGATTCTGTGCTCTTCATTGAAGAGTCCACCCATCAGCCTCTGCTCTTCAGAGAGAAAGGAAAGAGTGCCCCCTAGGGGGAGGGGAAGAGCCCTGGGCTGGAAGTCCGGAAACCAGCCACCTCTGGGCCCCTTTGCTTTGCTCCTGCTCTTGGTGGCTCTGGACAAATCCCTTTCCCTCTCCAAGCTTCAGGTTCTGCACAGGGAAAATGAGATTAACACTAAAATGCCACCAGCCCTAAAATTCTGTGCAAGAGGAAAGGATTGTGAAGGAGAGAGACGGGGCAGGGGAGAGGGGAATAGAGGAAGAAATTGGGCATGGGGCGGGGACTCAGTCCCATCTTCCTCCCCCCCACTTCCCCCTCACTGTCCTGGACCTAGGATGGCCAGCTGTCTGAGACTGCTGGGCGGAGCCGTCCCCGTGCCAGGCCCAGCAGAGCTCAGCAGGGGCCCTTTGTCACCCAACGCTTGCCGGGGCCTTGGCCACTGGTGTTGGGTGTCCGGGCAGATTGGATTCTCTCCTGGCAGCCCTGCAGATGCCGCACTCCTGCAAGGGTGGCCAGGCGGGCAGAGAGAAGCCAGCGCTCCCTCCTCCTGGGCTCCCAGAGGGACACAGAGGCTGCTGTCCGTGGTGCTGGACTGTGGGGGCCCCCAGGTGAGGGCTCCATGGACCCCAGCTCATGCTGGGGACCAAGCTGTGGGCTCAGTAATGTCCTGGTGAATATGCATCAGCTGGCTCCTCTGGTCCAGCCGAGGGCCTTGATTAATGTGCTTGGGTGCTGCGGGTGGAGGTGGGTGGCTGTCTCCCATCCCCATGCCTGTGAGACCCAAATGGAGAGAACAGGGCATAGTAGAAGGTGTAGCTGGCATGGACAGGGGGGCGTCTATACTTGGGGCAGGGGTGCATGCCCTAAATTGTGTGGGCATGGGATGTGTGTGAACACGTTGAGAACAGTGAGAGAAATAGGGATCTGTGTATGCACAGAGGGTATTTTTGAGGGAAGGAGATGGAGATGTTAGATGTATGATGCATGTGACACTGTGTGTGGTGGGGAGGTGGATGTCCACCAGGGTGTGTGTGCAGTGGGGCTTGTGTATTGTTATATGTATATGGCAGTAAGTAGGTCCTAAAAATAGGTAGTTTGGGTGTTGCAGGGCACCCTGAACGGTGTGTGTGTGTGAGGATGTGTGTGCACCAGGGTGTGTGTTGTTAAGTCAGCATGTTACATGGCACAGTGGACAATTAGGGGGATGGGTTGTGCTGGGAAGGTGAGTCAAGCTGTGACTTGGGGGTGGTTTATCGTGGGGTGTCCAGGCAAGTGCCAGTATATTTGGATTTACAGTGTATGCTGGTGTGTTATGGGTGTTGTACAAAGCACCCATGTTAGGGTGTGTGGGTGTTACTTGGGTAAGCATGCATGCACACGTACACTGGGCCTTCATGAGCACCTGTCCCATGAGGCCTCCAGTGCCTGACCCTTGTCACCACTCTGTGCTTGCCCCCACAGGAGCCACCGCCCCTGACCATGTAGATGCCAGCTACAGGGAGCAGCATGGGCCCCGCTGAATGGAGACTGCTGGGCCTACAGCCCTGAGACCCTCCCGCCCCTGGGCCTCTCCCTGTTCCCAGGGATACCCTTTGGAGTTCACCGCCGCTGTCATCAGCCCACCTGGGCCACCCCTCCCGCCGGGACCCGGAGTTGGCCACCAGGAGCCACAGCCGTCCAGTGAGGTTGTGCTGAGGACAACCACACAGAGCCATCACCCACCAGCCTCTTGTTCAGCACTGACCCTCGGGCACACCCCGAGCAAAGACTGTGGCAAACATGGGTGATATGACCAACAGCGACTTTTACTCCAAAAACCAAAGAAATGAGTCGAGCCATGGGGGCGAGTTTGGGTGCACGATGGAGGAGCTTCGCTCCCTCATGGAGCTGCGGGGCACCGAGGCCGTGGTCAAGATCAAGGAGACTTACGGGGACACTGAAGCCATCTGCCGGCGCCTCAAAACCTCACCTATCGAAGGTAGGTGTAGGAGACTCGAACCCGGGCCTGCAGCCCTGGCAACCGCCATCTGAGTTGGCTCCAAGGGTGGCATTCTTAACATTTAACCACAGGAATATCTCAGACATGCGCTGAAATGCCAGTGTGGCCATTCTAGTATATTCTAGCTGAGGGTCAGGGGATGAGGCTTCTTCCATTTTCTCTCCATCGTGGGTTGGGGTCTGGCCCAAGGCACCTGCAGAGAGAACCACAGGAACAGAGCTGGGTCAAAGCTGTGTTATAGAAACCAGATGCCAAAATCAGCCACAACCCCCGAGGGAGTGGGCTCGTCGTCCTGGAAATGGGAGGCTCCCCGTCTCCCCACCTGGACCAGGAGGGAGGCCTGAGGGACCAGAGGAGGACCCAGGCCTTGCTCGCGTGCATCCAGGCTCAGGCAGGACTCCTGCTCCCCTCACCCCCTCTCCAGGGCTTGGAATCGGGGGTCCAGCCACCCAGCCCCTGGCTTCCCTTCCCCGGCTCCCCTAGTCTGGACTCGAGCATGGACCCACAGCATTACCACCACGCAACCAATTCCAGCTCCCCAACCCCGGTCGAGTCCCATTGCCACAAACCCAGGCTCTTGAGTGGGCACTGCTAGGTCTGAGGCAGCGGCAGGCCATGGAGTTGCTGGGCAGACAGAGCAAGCAGGAATATAGGGTAACAGATGCCCGTGTGAGTCTTGCCTTTGAGTGTAGGACTTTCTTACAACCACCAAAATAAGCAGGCCTGGGATCTCCAGAGAGAGGGTTTTAGCCTCCTGGGGGCTCCTCTGAAGGGGACCAAAGCTTAGTCATCTGTCATGAAGCACAGAGTAGAGATACCAGCCCAGCTGGGGCACCAGAGCTCAGTTTGGATCCCCAACCCCACAGTTACCTTCCCATCACCATAAGGGAGAAGAGCTCCCTACATGAACCCCAAAAACATGGGTATGAGGCCCTGCCCCAGCACTCCCCAATCTTGTAACTTTGTGTAAAGAGGCTGCAGCAAGCCTCAGTTTCTTCCTCTGGAAATTGAAGCCAATGCCCGTCTCACAATGCCTAGTGGAGGCCTGAGCATACAGCAAGCACTCAATAAGTGACAGACATATTATTCTAAGGAGAGTGAACGACAGTTCCTCTCCCAGGTATAGACCACAACCTGGGAGGCAGGCAGCACCTGAATCCTTATCCCATGTGACAGAGGACAAATCTGAGGCCGGAGGTCCCTCTCACCCCATCTCCTAACTCCCCATGCCCTGGACATGGCTGGGCACTAGCCCTGAATGAATTTTTAATGAGGCTGCTTTCTTTGGGCCTAGCTGCTCACCTGGGGCTGCCGGTATACCTAGTGGCTGTCTGTGCCTGCACCCCACTGCATCTGTGTCTCTCTGCATCCAGGGCCCTCCCCTCTTAGTTCAGGTGGGAAGAGCTAAGCCCGGTCCTTCTTCCCAGATTGGCTACCATTGCCGAGCCCTGGCTGAAGTTTAGAAACACCTTTTCTTTCTTGGCATTGTTTGGTTGGGTTTTGTCAGGGAGGGTGGGAATAGAGAAAATATCCTTCTTTCATTGTGTAATTCTAGCTCAGGGCTTGAGAATGGCCACATGTGGTCCTGAGAAGGGAGCCGTCTCTGCCGGGGGGGCTCTTGGGCCCCAGTCTCGTAGGAACACCAATCCATGGCAGAATGGCCCATGGTCACCTCTGCCATCAGGATGCCACACCTGAGGCCAGGTTGCCCCAGGGGTCTTTTTCTTGTGAATGGCACCAGGAGATTTTCTTGAGTCGGGAATTCATAAGTGTCTCTGGGCCACAGGCCGTATGGGGAACCTAATGGAAGCTGGGGCCCTTCTCCCCAGGAAAACATCACCTGCAGGCAACAGATGTGACTGCACTATCAGTGTGTTTGCAGAGCCCCTCGAAGCCAGGCCGTGGACCTCAGGATAAGAAACCCACTCTCCCCTCCCACCTGATAGGCTCTCAGACCCTGAGAAACTGAGCAACCCATGACTGAGCTCTAGCACTGTGCAGGGCTATTACTGGGTAACTCATTGTGTCGCCCACTGGAGGAGATATGAGCATATCTGAGGGCATGAATCCTGTCCTGCTCCACTCTGTACATCCAGCATCCAGGCGGGTGCCTGACACAAAGAAGGGTAGATAACTGCCCCGAAGACCCCGAGATATGGCCTCGGCATCCCCAGCCTACAGGGAGCAGCAGCCCAGAAGTCTGAGCAAACAAAACAGCAGATAATCTAGACCAAGTACAGCAAGAGCCCCAGAACCCAGAGGAGAGGTGAGGTGGGCGAGCAGTGAAGGTCAGAGAAGGCTTCCTGGAGGAGGAGGTGTTTGAATTTGGCTGTGGAGGAAACAGAAGGGAAACCATGCAGCATGGCATGGAGCAACATTTCTTAGGATCCCATAGAATAATGGTGTGCTGCTAGAAGTTGGAAAAATAAAGGGGACTCAGTTTTCTCATCTATAAAATGGAAAGAATAGTGCCAGTTCTGACTAGCGCTCTGCCACCTGCCAACCGTGTGTGTGCCTTTGGGCCTATGGTCTGACCTGTCTAGGCCTTGGTTTCCTAATTTTTTGTAAGGAGCAAATGAGATCTCTGATGAGAAAGATCCCTGAGAAGGAGGAAGGCCTGTAATAGGGTTAACCAGAGCCCCTGCTGGAGTGTTCCCTAAGATCTCCCAGGACAGTGCAGGGGGAGCTGGAAGCGGTTTGGGAAGGGGCAGAAGGGCATAATGCCACAGACCCCAGACTTGGGCAACCTGATTCAAATTCCAGCCCTGCCACTTACCATCTGTGGGACTCTGGGCAAGTTACTCAATTTCTCTATGCCTCAGTTTCCTCATCTGTAAAATAGGGATGATAGGGTTGTGGTAGGGACAAATGAAGTAGCTTAGAACAGCACCAGGCATATAGGCAGTTCTGTGTGTTAGGATTCAGCCCCAAAGACTAAACACCTCCGTTTCCCCATCAGTAAAATGGGTGTGAACATTGCTTAGATCAGTCCAAGTACCCAGTATCTAAATGCTTAATAAATGTCAGTGCTTGTTGCTGTTGTTTTCATGATGATTATCACTACTCTGGAAGAAGCAGTCACATTCTCCACAAAGGGGGGACTCTGACTCTTCCGAAACACAGGCCAGATGTCTGTGCATGGTGCAACACTTTCTCCTGGGCTGTTCTGCATCCTTATGACACGTGCCTGGAAGCAGGTGTTGTGATCCCATTTTATAGATGGGGAGCAGGAAGGCTCGAGGTCACCACCACAGTTCACGTCAGAGCAGACTTTGAACACAGCTCTGACAGACACCACACCCAGGTGTCCCCTCAGCCCTGAGCCAAGCGTGTGCCCCTGGGCACAGCCCGCTAAAGATGCTCTCTGTCTGATGAGGGTCTGAGTAGGGTGGGGTCACCAGGGAACTTTTCTTTACATTCTCTCATGTTCAGCATTGGCCTCACCTGTCTGGCCCTCTTCCGATTTAAAACATGCTTGGCCTCCAGCCCCAGCCCACAACTTAATGCCATGTGGTCTGGGGCTGTGCCAGCTCCAGACAGGGACTCAGGTTGGCCATTCCTGGCATCCCCCTTTACCTCCCCCCATCTCTCCACCCCCACACACACACACACACACACTCACACTCACACTCACACAGTCTGCTGACCTGAGCAAGGAGCTGGCCTGTCACACTACAGGAAACTGCTCCGGGCCACACATAAATTAGCTTTCCCATTCACATCCAGCTAATTTTAGGCAAAAAGATCTCTGCAAGTGATAGAGGGGGTTTGAAGCCATAGAAAGCTATTCCCACCCAGGGCACCACCCGCTGCCAGCTCAGGCCTGGCAGTGTTGGATTTTCCACACAAGAGCCCAACTCTGGTGACAGCTGTTGGGTAAACCTGGCCCCTGTGAGGCCAGGAGTGACCTCTACCCCCAATCTGAGCTCCATTCCTTTCCTCGTCTCCTGTTGGTTCTTTTCCATTCTGGTGATGCCCTTCCGGCCTGCCCTCCACTGCTCCCTCCCTTCCCTTCCGCACCCTTCCAGCCTAGGATGGTAGTGCCCCTGAGACCCAGGTCCAAACCCTGGCTGGCTTACTCTTTAAGGGTTATTGGGAGAATTCAGTGTAACCCCTCTGAGCCTCAGTTGCCTTATCCGTGAAATGGGGATAAGAAAGCTACCTACCTCATGGGATGTGGTGAGTATTAAATCAGAGAATCCCCATGGAGGGCTTCATGAAGTGTAGGGCAGACCCTAGACACTTACAAAATGATGTTATCCTTGTTATTATGATACCCAAAGAGTTCTTTCAAAAAACAACGTGCATGGGCCCCTTCTCCATGAAAGAATTAGGCAATTAAATAAGACAGCGCTCAACAAAGAGTTAATGTGCTATCAGAGGAGGCTTCTCAAAGTGGGTGGCTTCGTGATGGATCTAGAAAGGTGGATGGCAGGTGTTGGGGCAGTCTGTGAGGTCCTGGAGGCCGGAGATGTTTGTCTTTCTCCACTGTGTCCCCAGCACCTAGTACAATGCCTGGGGGCCCTAAAATATTCACAGAAAGAAGGAATGGAGGGAGAAAGAAGTGGGGATGCCCTGGTGCCCCTTCCTGTGTGGGACAGAAGGCTGCAACCTGGGGACAGGACACAGGACACCCTGCGTCACCCATGGAACAATTGGCTTCAGTCCTCCAAGCATAGGGTGGCACTGCCCTGAGCCACTCGGCACACACGGCCCCTGCCCTTCGCTTCCTGACACTCCTCGGGCTGTCAGGAGCGGCAGCTCCGATAGGTCCCATGGGCACTACCTGCATTGCATGCTTCACCGTGGGGGAGAGAGGGGAACCACGAAGATGGGCAGCGGCAGGTGGGTGGGAGCTGGGTACTTCAGAGTGTTGTGGACCGGAACCTCCCGTTAATTCTGTATGAATCCTACAGCTTGCCCGAGTGGAGGAGAGAGAGGGGCTGAGCGGACAAGAGGGCAGACAATGGGGAGCAGCG